GGGAAAAAAAAAAAAAAAAAAAAAAAAAAAAAAAAAAAAAACACATCTTAGTAAAATAATACCTTCTCAGCTTCGCATCGAAGCTAAAATTAGGGTAAACATCTGCAGCGAATAATTTTTAAGATCTAAATTGTAAAAGTAATTTAAATATACTATCTAAAAACGGCATGTTTCTATTTTATTTTAGTACTTAAATTAACTCTGTAAATGCATTTTTCGCCGGATTATTAAAAAACAAATGTGAAAGGTTATTATGGGCCACCTTTTATTAATATTAATTAAGATACTAAGCTCGTTTTATACATCATTGGGATGATACATAGACTGTTTTTCTGGAATTTACTCAATTCTTGACCCTTTGTTTGTTATTGACTTTAAGTTTTTTAATTTATTTTGCTACAGAAAATATACTATTTTTTAGACTATTTTTGTCATCAATCCATCATCTATTCTGGAAAATTAGTACCTGTAACCTTAAAAAAATCGCGGTTATTCCTTGTAATGCCCGGGGGCTGGATTGGAATTCCGGCGGAATTCAACGGTGCGGGAAATCTAGGGTCCACTAAACTATATCTGGAAACTGCAATATAGACTATAAATTATAAAACTATCATAATAAAAAAGAAGACCACGTGGAGCATGGTTATAAACAAAGAGACGCAATAATGCTTCATTACCCAGTATAGTGGAGAACTTTTCTAGGGGTGTTCGTAGAAACCCACCATTATCTTCTTGCCGCAAGTTATGATGCATGGCAGAGTATCACTTGGGCTCCATTGTCACGAAATTACTAAGGAACCTCTTATAAGTCATCTGGTCCTGACCAGGCTGGGATCAGAGCGTGATCCCTCTGCCTGTTAAGGTGGTCATGCGCGCATCGGAAAACGCAAACCTATGGTGTTTCACAAGCCTGAATATAAACCCAATCGAGTCTTATACCACGAATCTGGTATGCAAAACCGACAGTATGGGCTTCCAGATTCCTTAGTTTATTAGTGTTAACCTAGACACCCTTGGACTGGTCGTGGTTGACGAAAACGTCTATTTGTTATTGAAGAGAACCTTAAATCTAACAAGATTGCTGTGAACCTCCAACCGGTTTAATCAGAATCCTGAAATAGATATGAAAGCCCAATTTTTAGGAGCAAACTCCTTTAGCGATTTAAATGTGTAATTGACTTGAGTCAGAGACATACTAATACATGGCTAGGATTTCTTAAGGAGAAAGTTTCGTAATCAAAAAAATCTCACTGAAATCATATTTTGGACAAACTTGATAAAGTTGAAAAGTTTTATTTAAAACTAAATCTTTTATTGCATCGATAGAACTATCAATAGAATGTTGAGAATTAAATTTGAAATTTTATTATTACTCTATTATTTTGCATTATTATTACTTACTGATGGTATTAGATTTTAAAATAATTTTTTGTAAAATAATTTTTTATAAGCAATATTTTTTACTTTATGTTATTTTTTAAATGACTGGTTTAGTTATGTAATTATAACAAGTTATAAGTACTTATATATTTTTTTTATAAAATATGTTTTATTCCTCTGAAAAATAAAAAAAAAGATATTTTTACATCACTATTTTATAGTAAAATTAAAGTTTGTTTACCTCTGAAATACAAAATTAATTATGATAAAATTAATAAATACTAACTACTTAATTTTACATTACTTTAGCTGAGTATTATTATATCATTATATATTTAAGTAAAGATAATTTTATTAAATTAAATTGAAAATTATGCGCCAAAGCTTTTGAGTATTTTTAAGTACATATATTCATGATTTTTATTTTCGTTAATATGTTTTTGAACTTAGTCGAGATTGTAAGGAGATAAAACGTAAAAGTTAAAAATAATTTATCTCAAAATAAGTTTGTTGAAGTAAATTAGTAAAATATATTACATGTAAATGTATATATAATTTTATGGTCAATTTGAAATATTTCATGCAAACAAATTTGTCAGATTATTGTATTTACAATTTTTTGGTTTGATTATTTTAATATTGAATAATGTATACGATTTTTTTACAAAAGGACAATTACTTTTACTACATTTATATCTATATTTCAACAAATTAAATGAAAATCATCTGATTGTATTTATCGTACGCCATTTAAAAACCAACTTACTTAAAAGTACTAGTAAAATGATGAAATTGACTAGTATTAATTAAAAATTTTATACTAATGTAAAGCTTATAATTTTCATGTTTCATTAAACTATCTTAAGTATGTGTTTAACATACATAATGGTAAAAATGTTTCCAAAATACGTATAAGCAATTTTTTAGTGTTTTTTTTTTTGTGGCTTTTTGAGTAAAATATTTTTTAGTTTTATAATAACATTTTTAATTTTCAATAATTAGCCACAAGTGATCAATTATTAGTTTTATTATATAATCTTAATATGTAAACAAAATAAAGAAGGAAAGAAAATTGTCATTAAAAAAGTTATATCAACAGTTCAAGTTAAAATATATACTCGTCAACTTACCTCACTTTTCTTCATAATCATAAAAAGGTTTAGAGAGATATATTTTATATTATGTTATTTGATCTATACACAATTTTGATTTATCTAATGAAATTTGGGTTTGTAACAGGTTTTTCTTATATCTTTAATGTTTTTTTATTAAGTAACTTAATTTTTGTAGATAGGGTGGAAAAATCTATATAGTATAAAATATATATAGCAGTATAAAATAAAATAATAATATCTGTGCACAGATCAAAATATACAAGCTGCCTAAACATATTTTTTAAGGAAAAAATATATATTTATATTGACTAATATCTAATTCCTTACTCTATCTATCAACATATCACTCTTCCTAAGATTTAATACTTTTGAAAGATATTTTATTAACTCTGTATTTGCTTCACCATCAGTAGGAGGGGCATTTATTTGAACTCCAATACCATCAGGACTAATATCTAAGTATTGAAACAACACCAATTAAAATAATTAAATTTTAAACATATTATTTGTAGTTAAAAAATGTAAAATTATTTTAATTAAAAGTTCAGGAATAAATCCGTAAGATTATCTTAATGATATGAAAAAACAAAATTAAGTTATTATATAGTATAATAATTATGTTGAAAACAAAGACTCACAATGCTATACACTTTAGACAAATTTTTATGATTTAATGCGTTTTAAATATTAAAGTCTATATTAATTCTATAATGATTCTTAATAAAAAGAAAGTCGATTTAGTTAATTAATTTACTTATTAAAGCATCAGTGTATCATGACGTACCAGTAATATTGTTACTTTTAGCTCCAGGTTTAGCATTAATTTTGATAATAATGTTACCAGATTTGGCTAATAAAATAGGTCCAACAGTTTCGGTTTCAGATTTTTCTTTTATAATATGTTTATTCGGTTTTTTAGGTGCCATACTATAAAAATTTGTATATGATGCACAAAGGATAATTCTGAATCTCATTAAAACAACAATATTAATATAAATTGTGTTTAATAAAAACAATACTCACAATTTAATTTCTTAAAACTAATTAATTTAAATAAAGTCATTCAAATTTACCTAAAACCTTATAATAATTGTTTACAAAATGTAGTCGATTCCTAATATCATTCAAAGTGATAAGTAAATTGAGCAGTATAATGAACATTACTATTTCACCGGGAAAACACCATTGCCACGAACTGATAATGCTCCGACATTTATATACTTCGATATTTGACAAAGTACTAAGTTTTAGTAACATTTGATACTCCGATCATCTGATACTATAGATTACCATAACTACGACAAATTTTACTCTGTCATAATCGATAGTAAAAAAATTGTTTTATTTATATACATATTATTATTTGAATATTTACTATCTTATAGTAAAATATAATAAGAAAATAGTCAAAAGCTTTTATTTTTGACATTCCAAGATGATCCTCGTTTGAAAGAATTTCAGCTTTGGCAAGATCTAACCGATCTCGATCAAGGAACAGTTTCGATCTGGAACTTTGGAAGTCCCGGAGGCAATTTTTCTTAATGATCACTGAGATGATTTCCTTAGTGGTCTAGCAAGAAAAAAAATCTCTAATTTTATGTGGGCTTCCTGAGTCCGCATTAAATCATCACTGCGAGAACATGATCATTTAGCCATGTTTAATGTTGTTAGCTTAATGTGAATATTGCAAATACAAATGCATTATTCTATAAATTCAAAATGAACTTTTTTTGAGAAGTTGAATACTGTTGTTTTACACATATTCTTAGACAAAAAAATTAATTTTCATAATAATATCTCGTATAATTTATTTTCCAATTTTATTTATCGTATAAACAGCGTCTAATACCTATGCGTTGAAAAGAAATCATACACATTCCTATGTATCAACAATATTTTACAATTCATTACGTACAATAAATACAGTAATTTTTATTATATTGTCGTTATTACGCTCTATTTAAATTCTCAAATCATTTTTCAAATAAATATAACACATTAGTATTTGATAAATTGTTATTATCAAGAATTAGTTCATTAAAAAGTTATAGTTATAAATGTATTTACACAAAAGGATAAATATTTTTATTTATTATGCGTATAATAATGAAATGTTCTGTTTTGTGAAAATGTAATGCCAGATTTTATATATATATATATGTATATCTTTTAATAAAGTTATAGTGTTTCAATATTTCATTATTATATTTGATTCTTATTTAAGGATAATGAAAGAATACTTGATTGATTACCAATTATGATTATTAATTAAAATATTTAACTGTATACGTACAACTGACAAAACTTCAGGTATCCTTATAGAAATAAAAAAATATCTTAACCATTTTTTACTGAATCTACTGTATATTTTTAAATTGAGTTAGTTATGTTTAAATCTAATTACTTTAACAGAAGAGTTAAGTATATCTATGCATAATCATAAACTATTGCAACGAAATATTTGAGAGCTCTAATAATATAATTTTTTTCCTTTTTTAAAAAATATTTCTATACCATAAGAAATACAAATTATTTTTTTTTGTGGGGGGGGGGGCTATAGCAGACTAACAAGGGGAGGTCACGGTGATGGGGTCACCGATTTTCATAAAATTTATATAGTTCTAATCTATATTGAATGCAGAAACAGATGTATTTGGAATTTTTTGCCAATGTCCACCTTAAGTCGAGAAAATTGACTTTGAAAATTTTTAATTAACTTAGGGTCATTTTTCTTCCGATAAACAACTCGTGTTATGGTCTAGTCGAGAAAACGTGATCCTAGAGCACGTACAGACTCGGGATCGAATCCCATCGGCTGATGAAAATTTTTGCTTTTTAGCTTCGATGCGAAGCTGAGAAGGTATTATTTTACTAAGATGTGTTTATTTTTTTTGTGTCTGATACCACGTTTTCTCAGCTCTCACCAAACGGATTTCTTTCAACGATACGTCAAAAGATCACAAATCGTATCTAGTCGAAGATATTATCCTCAAAAATTGAAATAATTTCCCTCGTTCGCCGCAAATGGGGGAAATCTCCAAAAAAATTATAATTTTTAAAATCCCTAAATTTTGTAATTTTTTTCACTTTTTTTTCTTAAAACTTTCATAACTATTTCAAAAATTAACAAATAAACATAATTTTTTTTATATTGGAACCTTAGACATTTTACTTTCATTTCATATCATTTTTTTGAAAATTTAACACTTAACCTGCTCACAGGGAGGGATTTAAAATAGTAAATTTTTTACAAAAACTAACTTTTTCAACTTAACTTTTGAAAAAGTTCCAGAAATACTGCATTCTTTTAACATATGCTATGTTAAGCTAACAATAAATACTATAAGTTCAAAAAAAAATTTGTCCCGACACCTTTTTTCTATTGGTAAATGACCATTGAATTTAACGAAAAATGTCATTTTTATGTAAAAATCACTGTTTAACATGAAATTTTAGCTTCGATGCGAAGCTGAGAAGGTATTAATTTTACTATGATGTGTGTTTTTTTTTTAACACGCTTATATTAGTTTCACCTATATGTATGTATGTATGTATGTTTGCAACTCTCCAAGCTCCACGAGTCCCGTTTCGCTGCGCTACAGTGTTGGTTGGATGGGGGTCTACGGGGCTACGAATCGTCGATACGAGCGCAGTCTCTCTATCTCGGGGAATCGGGCGCGTCCTCAGGTTGAGGATAGAGGAACGGCCTACAGATATGCAGGTTAGCCGCGAAATAAGCAGTCCATTCATTTAGACTGACGAATAAGCGGTCGCGGACAATGAGCTCCTCGTTCGCTCGTTAATCCTGCAGATATGCAGGGTAGCCGTGATATAAGCCACTGTAAAGTGGACGAATAAGCGGTAGCGATCGAGGGTAAATTCATAACGGGCCGAAACAAACACCCAAAACAAATCCCCTGGCGGTAGGTAAAACGTAGGGAAGGACACTCGTAAAAACCAGTCATGGAAGGAAACCATTGTAAAAAAACCGTTACGGTTCCAGAAAGTTCGGATCCTTCAGGACTAGCTGGGAAGAGTGCTGTTGCAGGCTCGAAAGTAACTAAGTAAAAATATTTACATTTATAGTTGAATACTTTTATCATATCAAATCTAATTGGACAATAAATACTTTAAAAATATTAGAAATGAATAATTTAAATTTTTTGTATGAAAAAAACTGGTTAAGCTACTTTTTATTTGAATAAGGAATATTTTTCCAATTTTTAAGGGTATTATCTTCAACTATTTACGTAATCATTTGACGTATCGTTGAAAAAAGTAGGTCAAGTGAGGGTTGGCAAAATAAATGAAGCCACAAAAAAAAACACATAGTAAAATAAACATTAACATGAATATAAATTTCTTCTCATGAGGGGTGACTATAGTGATAGAATCCTTTATATTTATTGAAGTTATTGAATCTAAATGAGATAAAAATCAAATGATTTGAAAATTTTTTTCTAACTCAAAAAAAAATGCAAAATATTAATTTTGCCACAGACGGATTTGAACATCGTACCCTATGCATGAGAGACACAAATGTTATCTATTCAGCAACTGATCGTCGCTTTCGTCGCACGATAAAATTAGTTATTTAAGCTAAGTCAAATTTAAAAGTTACTTTTTCGACTTTAAAAAAGCAAAAAAATTTAAATAAGTTTAATTTCTTATGTCTTATGAACTTTATTCTATGTCAATTAAATTAATTAATATTCATGAAAGTTAGTGTATTTCCCTTATGAGATATTTTAAAATAAAATAAAATACAAAACCTCGAATTTTAATACAAAAATAGCATATTTTTGAATACGGTAGCCATTTACGCATAGAAGATAGGTCGTCGGGACAAATTTTTTTTTTTAATAATAAAGTATATAATATAAGCTTTAATTTAAGATTCAATATAACTGTGAATATTTACGGAACATTTTCAATAGTTAAGTTTAAAAAGTTAGTTTTTGTAAAAAAGTTACTATTTTAAATCCTCCCCTGTGGGCAAGTTAAGTGTTAGATTTTCAAAAAAATGACATCAAATAAAAGGAAAATATCTAAGGTTTTAATATAAAAAAATATTATTTTGATTTGTAAATATTTGAAAAAGTTATGTCAGTTTTAAGTATAAAAAACATCTCGATAGAAGGTGATTTTTATCGCAAACATTACATTTTTTTTTTAATTTCGACAGCCATTTGCACATAGAAGATAAGGTGTCAGGAAAAATTTTTTTTTTCATTTTATAGTATAAGACATAACCTTTGATTTGATATATGTTTAAAGGACGCAGTATTTCCGGAACATTTTCAAAAGTTAAGTTGAAAAAGTTCTATTTTTTATACAATGTTTCAAGTTATGAACGCCCCCCATGTAAGGGAAAATTGTATACCGATATATAAATATACCGATTTTTAAATTTGTAATTTTTTTGGAGATTTCCCCCATTTGCGGGAAACGAGGGAAAATTTTTTTAATTTTTTAATTATTTTTTCTTTTAAGAAATACTAAATAGAATAATATACTAATTTTATTTAATTTTTGAGAGGCTAATTTGTCAATTGGGAACTAAGCTCTCTTAAGTATTCTTCTGGTTGCGTCTATGCCTATCACTAATTCTAAAAATAACTTAAGTTAGTTTTAATTAATATAAAAATTAATTGATAAATAATACATTTTCATGGTTATAAAGTGCTAAATGATATTTATTTATCACCCATTTAAAGAAAAGTTGTTAGTCGCATTCTATTATTATATTCTGTCGCAAGAATAATTTTATTTAATAAGACATTAATTTAAATGTAATATGTATATATATTTGAATAAAAGTATATATATAATATAAATTAATTAGTAATAGTCTATTTAATCAAGTATTTAGATGGCTTTATTATTTCTTAAAGCAGTAGATTATTCAAAATAATTGTGACGTATTCACGTTGAAAATATTAACTCGCCACACAATATTTATCCATAATTTTTATTTTGACAAAATATTTTCATAAATATACCCATATTTATCAATAAAATGGTTTATAATCGTATATTATTAGACATTTTAAGGTTCGTCTGTTGATAGCGTGTACTCTATACCATTTATAATTTAAAAACTGTGAATATCACTTAATATATTCATTATGATGAAAATGTTGGTTCATTGTTTAATCCACTAAGTTCGTGTATCCATGGTCGTAAATGATG